AAATAACTTTCCTGTCATCAACATTCAATACTAATCCTGTAACATATCTGTACTAGAGAAACATGCTTCTAATTGGCATGGGTCCACTTTTTAAAACTTCCTTTACTTAAAATACGTTTTCTCAATTATTTGATCATTCAAGTAACTTTTATTTGAAACTGTTTCAGTAAAGAAGAGTATAAGAGAATATAAAGAGAAGCATATGGTATGACTTTTAGAGGATAAAGACAAAATCTGGAACATGCTAATCTAATGGAGAAATTGGATCCCCTCTGGTATGGTACCTTAATAATCCATGTACAAATGGAAACATTCAAGAGATTCTTCAGATATATGTTGGATTCTGTGCACCTTCTTACATGAAACTATGTAATGTGCAAAGTTACAGTGTTTTTGATTGACATTCAGAATGGATTTATATGAGAAGTGGGTAAAACCTGTAATACTGTGAGTCACTGGCAATAATGATTCTCTATAACTCTCACAAACTATGAAGTGTTATAAATGTAAGAAACATTCTGCTACATAGAAATAGCCTTTTCATTAAAATAACCTCCAGAATGGAACAAACATCAATCAGACACATAGGCAGGGTCAATGTAACAGATACATCATTGTGTGTTTTTTTAAATACATAATTAATTGCTGAAGCATTAACCCATCTAACAACTGACAGCTGCTTTAACAAGATACATTTCATAACTAGGGTGGAGCTGAAGAAGGCAAAACCTATAAAAGATTACCTAATTCAACACTTCTCATCCTGTAACTGTAAAGCCACTTTCTGGAGCATTAGGTAAATATGATTTATATATTTTATGTCTGTTTTAATTACTTCTATGAATGTACTATTTTTACATTACAATATTATACCCTCTTAGCTGGGAGCATGCACCAATGAACTGAGGATCTGTATGGGACTGCATTGTTAGTAAACTAAGTCACTGTATATGACAGAAGCTACTTATTTTTCCCTAGTAACTTTATTTCAGGAACGAGACTTGAAATTTTCCCAGGAAAAGAATATTATTACCTTTATAAATGTTAGAAAGTTCATATATAATGCAAATTAGCTTGAAATTGTTTTTGCATGAAAAAAATTAGAAATTCACGGTAAAAGCATGATTATAAGACTTTCATATTCATCTTCAGTTTTCCCACCTAAAAGATGCTATCTCAGGTGAAGTCAGAGGATTTTTCCCCCATAAGCAACAAAGCATGTTAACCCTGGGTTCCCTTTTACAGCATTTCAATAGACAAAAACATGGAAAACTTTGGCAGTGAAGAACTTCTAAAGCTCTTCACTCAGTATGCTCTAAAAGAGGGTAGTTCTACTTTGCTTTCCACTGGTGGACTTCAAAGTTTGCTACAGAATCATTTCTCAAGCATCTTGGTAAGTCTTTTCAAAACTATGCTGACAAATACATTTAAAATCATTTCAGAGTTTGTAACATTTTCGAAATGAACTCATTTCATGGATGCAATACATATCTTACTAAAATAGCTCATTAGAGACGAGGGATATGGCCCAAAACAACTGAAGAGAGTTTAAAACAGGGCTGGGGGAGGTGAATGAAGCAAGGCATCAGTGGGAAAAGAAGGCAATGTGGGGATAACTCAGAATGAGAGGCAATCACAATTTTTCACCATAATACAATTCACATTATTTTCATATCCAAGGTTCATTGAAATTAATACAGAATGAATATTTATAAAATTAGCCATTTTCTACAATGAGAAAAGTATACTAATACTAGTACTAATCTTAGAACTGCACAGCTGGAAGGATCTCTCGAAAATCAGGTACATCCCCCCCCCCGTCACAATCAAACTCCCAAGCTCTGGCTCCACAACCAGTTAACTAAATCACTGAGCTATCCAACAGTATGACCACTAGATTTTTTTTGAAGGGGGGGAGGGAGAGAAGGAGGGAAGAGAAGAAGGAAGGAAGAACCAGGAGTTATTGTGCATAAAGGACAAATTGTACCTAAAAGGGTTTTGTATGCATGTTTTTGAAATTTCAGGGTAGTTAGAGGGGGCTGGGGGAGCTATAATGGGGGTGTTTCAGGCTGCATGTTATCCGTTGACTAAATTTGTCTACATATGTTATGAAGCTCGTATTTCAAAAAAGGCAAATCTCTCAATTTCAACCAATGTAACTTTCCCAGCATCTCCACATGTATAAGGACTAGGTTATGTTTTAAAAAACCTAATATGGTAGTTTTATAATGCATTTAGCTACAAAACCTTTATAAATACAATCTTCAATAACTCAGCCAACAAAGTTGACCACTGTAATTCAAAAGTCTAAATCTACAAGGTGTTATTCCAGCTGAACTGAGAATTTTTAGAAAAAAAAGTCCTCTCCAAGAAACTAAAAGAAAGAGTTACTCTGAACTGGAAAACAGCTAAAGCAAGAAAAAGCTTCAAACTGCTTTCTGGTTGTTGTGGGTTTTTTGGGCTCTTTGGCTGTGTTCTGAAGGTTGTTCTTCCTAACGTTTCGCCAGTCTCTGTGGCCGGCATATTCAGAGAACAGCTCTCTGTGCTCTGGTGTAGTTTGGCTTTGGGAGTGTAGTATTTATGGTTGTGAGATAGCCTTTTGTCTTTTTCTGTAGATGGGTGATTAGTGTGTATTGTTGTGGGTGTATTCCTCCCCACAACCTCATAAACACCCATCAAAATCAACTTTGGATGGTAGAAGAGATTTTCTGTAGGTTTTGATGTATCTCTGAGATAGTGAAGGAGGCTTTGACTCATTGAAAAAGCAGGATTTGACACTGGATTTTTTCCTGTGTATTAACTGTAGCTTTTTTGGTGTCACTAAATCTACTGCATAAGGTTCCCCCAACTCCCTTTGTATGTTGCTTTTGTAAACTGGCTGGGGGTGGGCATGCCAAGACTGATCTTGAGATGGTGCAATACCAATGACACATACACACAAGTCAGATTTCAACATGTTCAATAGCTACAGGCACTAATAGCAGAAACCTACCCATGGCTAAATTGTTGTGCTGCTACTCAAAAGGCGTGACTGCTGGAGCCAAAATGCCTCAAATTAAGAAACCTCCATAAAACATTGACTGCTGCATGCCAAGTCACACCACTCAGTATGCAACAGATACTGTCTATGGTAATTTCTTAATTTGAGGCAATTTGTCTCTAAAAGCTTTTAGTGCAGTATTTCAGCCAATGGTGGAAATGTATGGAAGAAGAGCTGAACAAATCTTAAGTTGTTCATTGAACAGAGTCAGGTCTGGTCTGTCTGAGAGAGAGAAAATATGGAGAGATGGGGCAAGAAAGTTAAGAGGAGTTTTTTTCTCTCTCTTAACTTTTCCCATTGCTCTCCTCACTGAGGCTCTCAGACAAAATTAAAGGCAGCACAAGCCAAACGTTCCATACCAAGCTATACACAAACTGCAGACACAGGAAGAAACTAAAGAATGCTGTCTTTTTTCACAGCTTTGAGGTTTTATTGGACTGGGGATAATGAAAAAAGCACTCTTTCGCATGAAGAAACTACTATTTTTATAAGGAGTATATACCTTGATAGAACTGCAATATAGCTGGCACATGAAAGCAGAGAGGAAGATGCTAAACTACTAAATTACTTGGTATAGAAACATATGTACACATTAATAACAAATGCTTTTTATTTTCTTATATCATAAGAATTTAACTGAAATATTCTCTTTTGAAGTTATCTATATAAAACTATTCTGTTTTGCTTTCCCCTTATTCCCTCCTCACCCACCACCATTCATACAGGGTTCAATGTCTCTCAATGAAATTATCAAATTTGCAGACATAGATAAAGATGGAAAAATCAGCTTTAATGATTTTAAGACACTGATGAGCAAGTTACCTGGTTTGATTGGATTATCTGGTTTGGCTGGACTAACAGGTTTTGGCTCTTAAATCCAAATGAAGAAGACGACACAGAAAATGTGTGATAACCCCAAACAACCCTTTTATGGACTCTGAAAATGTTTGCATTTGTGTAAAGAATCTATTGAAAGCTAAACTTAATCACTGTGATTAAATTCTATCATTAAATAAAGATCTACTTTTGTTTAAAACCATGCATATATCATAATTTGTAAAACTAGGCACTGTTCTTCCCAGTGAAAATGTATGGGAATCTTACATATTTATTCCACTGATAAAACTGTCTCCTCGCTGTTTCCAAATGGCATTACCATGACTTTTAAGAGTCTGTAGTTAGTTACATTTAGCAGAGTAGCTAAGAATCTGAGCTACGAGCCAGGGAGATACCCTCAAATCAAATCCTCATCCAAAACTACCTGTATATGCCTAAACTGAGAATCGTGTGGCCTAAGACAAGGCTTACTGAAAAAGGAGGGACTGTGTGTATACGTTTGTTTCCAGGTGTCAGGCATAAAGAAGATTTGGGGATGCACATAAATTGACACAGATAGGAATTATAATGTCTCTGGACTAGCCAGTCAGACTGGATATTAATACTAGAATCCTTTTGTTATCGCATGTTCAACAAATACTATTTCCAAGAACAATTCAAGCCAATCACCTCTGCTGTAGCAAAATACCTGTGGAACCCTGGGATGGAGAACACGAGGAGGAAAAGAGAGAAAGCTTATTTAAATGTAATAATAGCTATACCTGCAAAATATTTGACCAATTGTAATAGCTACCTTACTAGGTTTTTAATTCCTGTAACAGAATGTTTCTTTAATTGAGACTAAGTAAAAAATCAAAGCAAAGGGCCAAAATCTGTATTTACTGCCAATGGCAATCATCTGAACATACCAATACAATATAAGTACAACTGAGAAAGCTATTTAGTACCACAAATTCCAGTCAGACAAGAGGTTCAGTTTGCATTCAGTCCTGCTTAGAAGACACCCCCTGAAATTATTAGGTATTAATAAATTATCACATTGCTTTAAATGCCTGAATTGGGAAAATGTGAAATCTGGATCTGACCCAATATTTATTAAAACATAAGGAGGAAAAGTACTTACAACATTATTTTTTGTATCTGGGTCAAATTCTGTAGAATTGGCATCTGTAAAAATGACATTTGCAAGTTACACAAGACATCAGCAAATAGCAACAAGATTCTGGCCATGCTGTTTCAATCATATGCTTTTGAAACATATACTACCGGTACTTTCTAGCTACTTCTTTGAATAAGAATAACCTAAAAAACTATAGAAGCAGTAAATGATATCAAGTTCCAAGTCAGTTTCTATACATCTATGTTTATTTAATGTTGTAAAGTCTGAGGAACAAATTAGTTGTTCCAACTTTAGAAAAGCAGATGTTCAAGAAGAGCATCTGGATCCTACAACAGTTAGTGCCCAAGAACATTTTACTTCAGCTGCCAGAATTTCAACATCTTCTTCATTATGGGTGGGCAGAGTGTAACTCCAGGGCCACAGGAGGGCCCCAGAAGGCTATTTTTGTAGGGTCCCACCACTTCCTCAGTCTCCCTTAGTCCTGCAGCAAAAAAGTGAGTGGAGTACTGACACTGCTTTTTAAACGCTCACAAGGCCTTCCCATACCATTTAAAACTCCAAACACCCATTTTTCACAACAAGAAGTAGACTCTTATTCTCCTTCTTTGGCATTTAGGCAGGTGACTCTGTCCCTGGGGAAGAAAATTAGCCCCTAGACCTGCCCACTCCTACTTTCAAGTCAATCAACTTCCTAGAAGGAAACATACCTTGCCAGTTTAGACAGTTCCTTGCAAATTCCACTACTGCCAGTTGCATCCCCAAACAAACACCTGTAAATTTAAGAAGAGCTGCTGTTACTTGGGTATTTTATTAGTTGATTTGCCTTAAGGCACTCTCTGTATTCCAAGCCAGAAGTTTCACAAATAAAATACCTTAGTGTTTAGCAGAAAAGTAATTATTTTGTATTTACTGCCTAGAGCTCTGACTCTGGTATCTCAAGAGCAAAAGTTAGTATCGGGACAACCATGAATCTTGAGAAATAGCAGTGTCTCTAGAAGCAGTTTATGAGTTTTTACAATTTATATAACTTGTGTATGACTTAAATCAAACCCTAAAAGAAACTGCCAAGCATTGCTTCCATAGAAATTCTTGGAAGTTATAAAATAATAGCAACTCTTCACGAGCACATAACAAGAGATCTATTTCTGCTCCACCTACTGAGCTTAGTCAAAATGTTTATTCTTAACTTCAAATTTGAAAAATAAAACTCTATTGTATATTAATTAATATACTCATTAAAACTGATTGAACAATTCAGGCTACAACTACGCAGTGGGGGAAATATGGTTTGATCCACTGTGATCTACATAGTTCAAATCAGGTTTCCGCAGATTAAATCGCTGTAGCCATTCAGACACAAACAATGTGCAGGAGTCAGCAAGGGCGGAGGCATACAGCTGTGTTTGCATGAAGCTCCAACAGCAGAAGCTACCTTTGATATGATACTAACAAGGTGCCAATTCATTTCTATCTCTGTTTCTCTCTCTTTTTAAATTAATTTCCTAAGTGCCCAAGCGATACTCTGTTACAACATTGGCTTGAAAGCTTTAAAAGAAAAAGAAGAATCTGTTTGGAGACAAAAGAACTGACAGCCCTGCAAATGCCTCTTTGCATCATATCAAGGGATACACTGTGCATAAATCAGACAAAAGCGGTATCAGCAACTTTAGACCAGCCCACTCAAGAGAGACAATTCCACAACAGGCTCCTCTACACTGAGCTTCATATTACCGTATTTTTTGCTCCATAAGGCTCACCAAACTTTTAGGAGAAGAAAACAGGAAAATAAAAATCTGTTTTCTTCTCCTAAAAATTTGGTGAGCCTTATGGAGAGGTCCGTCTTATGCAACACACCCTAGGACCCTTGCGAGGCTCATCCTGCCCCCCCGGGGGCCAGGGGGGGCAGGGTGAGCCTCCAAAGGGTCCTAGGGTCTGTTCCAGGACCCTTGCGAGGCTCCCCCACCCCCCACGGGGCCAGTGGGGGGTGAAATCGACAGCTTCTAGGACCTTTTCTGAGGCTTAAAAGGCTCAGAAAAGGCTTCCATTGATGAGAGACTACTCTATCTTATCAAAAGCCTTTACCAATGTACCACTCTCTGTGTAAGATGTGGGATAGAAAGAAACCTAACAAAACCCGTCTCTGCCTCCAGAGGGGTCTGTCAAGGCTGTACATTGGCTCCCACATTATCTAATCTTTATTTAAATGACATGATTCAGAGTTGCTTTGCACCAGATTTTCATCCTCTGAGTTTGGCAGCCAGTGGGGGCAAAATTGCCAGCTTCTCTTCATAAGACGCACGGACTTTCCCCCCACTTTTTTTGGGGGGGGGAAGTGCATCTTATGGAGCCAAAAAATACAGTATGTAGTTACCAGATTTTAATTTGAATTCATTTGTACCAAATCACATGCAAACTGCAAGGTAAATGGCCAATACAGTCACTCCCTAAGTTTCAAGCTTCTCAGATATTTAACCCAGTTTGTAGACTTTCGATTTTGGGTAATCACATTGCCCAACACTGAAGATCATAGTCAAAACGCGAGCCATCAAATATTTAAAGTAATTTCTGCAGGTGTCAGAGATATACCGTGTTTCTCCGATAATAAGACCTATCCCGAAAGTAAGCCCTCCCCTTAATTTGTAGGATTCCTCTAAAGTAAGCCCTCCCCCGAAAATAAGCCCTGTTGCCCTACTCGCGCCCTGGGTAAGCTTACCGAGGGCGCGAAAAAACATCCCTTCAGCAGAGCAGAATGCAGTAGGGAGAAAGCAGAGCTTCGCCCTTCATGGCAGTGCTTTCGTCTCAGGGCGCGCCGAACGGGATCCCGGGAGCCAACAGCCGCGCAAGCTCCTCCTCCGCCTGGAACTCCCCTGCCCGGCGCGCGAGGGAGAGAGAGGCACGAGCCCTGCGGGCGCCGTGCAGGCGCTCCTGCTCCCGGACCAGAGAGGAGGAGAACAAAAGCTTCAAGGCGGAGGGGAGGAGGCGACCAAGGCAGCATAGCGAGGAGCATCGCCTGAAAGCCGAGCAGGCGCGCTCGCTCGCTGTGTTTTCCCCCTTCCCGGCAAAGCCCGCCTTTTTGGCTCCCCTTCCTCCTCGTTTTGCTTCCACAGTGGTGAGGGCTTCTCAGACAGCCAGAAAGCGAGAGGAGCCAAGCAGGAAAGCAGGAAGGAGAAGCCCAGTTCTTCTCAGCCGCTGCCTT